ATTCATGGCAAAAGGCTGTGGGAAATCCCGAAGACATATGTAATTCTGTACCAGTGAAACCATGCTATATGCACAATATCGTGAAAAGTTGCTATTTAGGGAGCATCGTAAAAATTAATTATTCTCTACAAAAGTGATGATCTTTATTACTGACTGACAAGTGATAAGGCTGACAAATACAGTGTTAAAATCGAAAATTCATGCTGATTCAGTATCCATAAATATATGATATGAATACTGCTCCCCGGGCATTAAATTACAGGGTTCTTCTTCATGCTGAGCATCATTATCTTTCTCCATGCTGTTTGAAAGTTGACAGAATAAAGGTTGGCTTCTTATATTAGCGGAAATAACGATGAAAAGTATCACATTAATATTCCAGAGGTAGCATGAATGATTTATGTAGTAATGCAGATGTAACACTTGGCGACCAGAAGCAAAATACAGAGTATGCAGAAAACGATGCATACAAAGTAAAGTGAAGAATAAGTACAGAATTGATATGCCAATAAGTTACATCTAAATATGCAGGTTGACAAGAAAAAACTGATTTAAGCAGATTGAGCACTGGCTGTTCCTTATTCGGCAGAGGAATAAATTTTCAACGTGCTTCATTTCTAGTATAGATACAAATAGGTATTTCTGTACCTTATCGACTGAAACCCTGAAGTGCGTTAAAGTTTGAAAAGAATCTAGCGCTAAGGATGAAGATGTTCCGCTAGAATAGGTTTATGCAGATTTACAGTACATCATCTATCAAAGTATTTAAGATAGTAATCGTTTTAATCCGATCGACAGCATTGTGACCTCAAGCACTGTTCTGTAATTGGCATGATATACGTTGTCATCGATGCTGCATCGATCTGGAACACCTCACCTCTGCAACAAAAACCGGACTCTGTGGAATCAACAGAACATTAAGCATGATGTAAATCATTTAGAGAAGAGTGAAAATTTTCTTATTGGAGAAACTGTCCTTGTGTCTGTAAGGGACAGCTTTCGATCAACGTGGTTTTCAGCGCCATCCTGTGCATAAGAAATGTAGGCCCATAGCAATTCCACTCATAACCTGCAAACTATGCAGCACAGCGTGGAAAGATGCCTGTTAGGAATAGCAAAATAAAAAAAATGTGGTAAAAGCAAAAACAAAAATCCGCCATGCTAATGTCTAGGTGAAGTGACCGAAGTGGCACTGGACAATGGACGTACGACATCGCAGGACTCGATGGACATTAGATACAGGGGTCCAAGAAACGGAACCGGCCGCCAGAAGCCCTACAGGTCAATGAGAGTCTGTGCTGAGGTAGCTCATTGGATCAAGGTGGATTAAGTTCGCAGAAAATAGAAATCAATAGCTGTGATGATCAGATTATGCGCATTCACCTGTCGATGACTGCTTACTTGAAGATAAAGTTGTTCCACCTCAGGATCCTGCAAAATCTCCGGTGGAACGTGGATCCTGATCAAGTATTTCGCTATATACAGTCGTTTTTCACAATCTTCTTTGTGGTCAACAATCCATTGAATAATTGAAGTAATGACGCTTCTGTTGCCCTCTTCTATCGCTTTCAGCAATTCATTCCTAAGTCAGCGAAAGCAGTACAACGCATTTCAGGCAATTATGAATTCTGTA